TTAATCTGAGAGAAGCAAGCGGTCCATTCACGCGGGGCTCCAGTCCGAGCAGCACAGCGGGAGAGACACACACTCCACACAACGACAGAGAGGGAGAAAAACCCTGGAAGGCAGAGTATATCGGTCTCTGACAATAAAGGGATTAGCCCAGGCTTGAGCTGATATGAGTGTGTATCTGTTTATGTTTCTGTCAGACATAGCTGCACACAACTCCACTGTTTGCCTGATTCCCCCATTCGGTCTCGGTGTTAACATGTGGTAAATATGAGACATTTGGTCCCCAGCTTGACGTATGCAACACTCAGCATGCAAAAGTGAAACCAAGACTACTGGCCATGACATATACACACATTCACAAACACACACACATTTGAATTCGGTATCTGATGTGGAATTTATATTAAAAAAAGAAAATAAACAATAAAAGCAAAACATTTAATTAAAATATATGACATCAATTGAATGAGCACCACAGCTCAATGTGAGCATGTGTGTTTCCACCAACAATTAAGGACTAATGATAGTCTTAAGTATAAATTGAGGGGTGGATAATGACTTTGGATCCTGGGAGAACGTTTCTGGTCCATTGCATGCGATCCGGACAGTCCGAGAACCAGCAGTAACAAACCCATCTGTGTAATGAGACATCTGCCCACACAGCTCGACACCTCTCTCAAACTTGCACACACACACACACAGACGCGCACGCACTGGCCTGGGCACACGGCAGACTTCAGAACAGCTGTGTGGACTCACACTCATCAACGGGAACATTCACAGCACTGATTAACATAACGAGCCAAGAGCAGGGACACACACAGAAGTGTTTGATAGCCGATGCAGTGCTTTACAGGAATGGATTGTGCATGAAAATGAACATTCTTCCATCATTTACTCACACTCATGTTGTTCCAAACCTGTATGACTTTATTACAGTATGTGGACTATAAAAGGAGAATCTCATTAGCACATTAGCATATTCAGATTTGTCGCGTGACATGACCATGCCAAATTTAAATATGCTCGAAATCATTCTGTGTCCCATGGAAGAAATTAAGTCACACAGTTTTGAATGATCTGGATGTGAGTGCCCATGCTTTCTTAAAAGCAGTTCTTAAACATCCATGGTTGCATGAATAAAGACCTCTGCGTCTGCAAAGCTACATTCGGCATTCCTTTTGAAAAATCAGGCTTGATAAATGCTTACTGAGAGAAAAAATCCTCAATGGACAACGTCTGCAGTGTAGGTGTATGTGTGTCCGCATAAGACGAAGATGATGCTCAGTTGCAAGAAATACCCAATTAAACTTCTCATTACTAATTATAAAAGACAAGTAAACCTAAACTTTCCAAAAGAATTCCCATGGCCCTTCACAAAGAAGAGTAGAATAGGAATGAGAGACCAAAAACAAAAAAAAGTTGATGAAGATGATGACAAAATTAGCCAAGAGAAAGAAAAGCAGGCTTAATATTGAGTTCTAGCAATAATACACACGAAAGCAAAAGCTCACACTCGTTTTTCCATAGTTGTTTTCATTACAAATACTCATCTCTGGACATCATGGACAGAGAAAACAGTCTGAAATATACCTGCATCAGAAACTTTTTAGCTATTCTAATCTTAGCTGATCTTAAAATACTCTGTAGCAACTGACCAATCAGAATCAAGAATTCCAGAAAGCCTAACACAGTCAATTATTTAAGTGCATAAACACTGCTAAACTGTACAACGGACCATATTCTTCCTACAAAGCTATGCCCGTTTCATGATTCTGCCATCACTCTGTGGTCAATATCTGCTTTTAAATAATATAACCTGAATCAATACATCATGTATATTCGCTTATTTGTCAAGTAGCTGTGTAATAAGTGGGATAATGTGTAATTGTGTAATAAAGCCAAAATAAATAAATAGGTAAATAATTAGACCCTCGGGTGGTTCCCGAGTCTCTGGGTGAAAACTACTGATTTAGGATGATGCGTGGTTACGTGGATATTAGGGTCATAACCCCTGCTGATCACCATTTTGTCAACTCGAGTACATTATTAATAAGTGGATTTTGTTCGTTCTAAATGCTGTGGAATTATCATCAAAATTAGAGGTAATATTTAACGTGTAACAGATGCATAGACATTAGCTTGAAAATAACCTAAAACATTTCTACAAAAAAATACTTTTTATAAAGCATTGTAAACATCTTACTGAATCTTCTGATAAAACTAAAGACAGTATCCTTGAGCAAATCTGAATGTTTGCGCAATCGGCCTTTAAACTACAAAGCACACAGCGTCTGGAGATTCTCCACTGAACGATTACTTCTGTTTCTTGCGTCGGGTCCCTTTGGCTTTGTCTCTCGTCCTTCTTCCGGGAGGATTTTAGGAGCGCTGAGAGATATGTGCGACTCAAACAGACACGTGCACGCGGTGCTAATGAGCTCCCTCTGGAAGCCCTCAAACACTCTGTCATACGTTAGAATTGTATTGGCAATACGTTAGTTGTGTGTTAGCAGTTTGTATATGGTGTGAGAGGACAGGAGAGAGCGGGATAGAAATGGAGAGAGTTTAAAAAAAGATGAATGAGTTGATAGGGGAAATATCAAGGCTGTGTGTGTTTGTTTGTTTGAGAGAGAGAGAGATGAGCCGTCGCCAGGCCCCTCTAGTCTGAACTGTGAGGAGCAGGTGCAGGACAGCAGCATCAGTGTGTGTGTGTGTCTATGCAAATGTGTGTCAGTGACCAAGTGTGTGTGTGAGATGAGGTTTTCATATATATTGGCATGGAGCGATGCAAAGCTATATCCTACTGGGTAATAAACACACACACATATACTGTACACACACACATGCAAGGTGAGCCTTTTGGGTCATAGAAACTTGCTCCTGCTGTGTTAATGCGCTTTGTGTTGGCTTACCAGCAAAGCCTTCAGCGTTTACACACCGATTCGGTTTCAGCTTGACTTTCTGCTTCAACTTGCCCATCTGAAACTTTCTGTGAGATTCTGGGAGCCATTTAAACATTGTTTCAATGAAAATGCTTTGCATTTTTTAAAAGCAGCGGCTATTTACACTAACTCTTAAACGTACCGAAGACGCTGGATTGTCAAAAGTAACGATACTGTAGCAGTCAGGCGCAGGGCAGAAAGTTTAGATTTTTTTTTTTTTTTTGCCAAACTCGCTCTACTACCTTTTCCCATCACATATCAAATCGGAAAGGCATTTATTTTCAATAAAAATGAAGAAAACAATCGAAAAGTAAAGTGTCTAACACGTGTTAATAATGAAATGTTTATCGGTTACAGGGTTAGGTGTAGGTATAGGGAGGGCTTTATTGTCTCAACAAGGCAGAATCCATTTAATAAGTTTACTAAATATAATAATTCAAACTATGTTATTAAAGGATACCGTTTAAACATACAACAACACTGAAGTCCAAATAGTATCTGCCACCATTTTTAACTATTAATAGCATATCTTATTGCAAAGAAAGTACTGCTATTTTTACAGTGTCTATCGCTACGGTGTAAATGAAGAGTTCAGATGCAAAAGCCTCTAAGTGCCATTTGAAATGTTCTTCTAGAATGATCATTTTTATCAAGCTTGTATATTTAAGTTCAGTAATTTCACTTAAATGGCAATGATAATTACCTATTAATTGAGTGAAATTACTGAACTTAAATATACAAGTTTGATAAAAATCATCATTAAAGAAGAAAATTTCAAATGGCATTTAGAGGCTTTTGCATCTGAGCTCTATACACTCTAAAAAATGCTTTGGGTCAAATATGGACAAACCCAAATGCTGTGTTAAAAATGTAATTAAAAAATGACAGTTGAAAGTGAAAGCTGACAAAAATGACATTTTAACCCGACATTTGGGTTTGTTCATATTTGACCCAAATTTGTAGCCACTGCCTTTAAGTGTTATTATTTATAATAAAAAAAATGCTCACCTAATATTAGGTGTCTTTAACTATGTACATATAAATTCATCATTTGATACAATGCACTTATTGTGTGTACATACATGTTTTTACATTGTACTTATAATTTAAAAAATTTAAAATACCTGCACTCTAAAAATGCTTGGTTGTTTTAACCCAACTTTGGATCAAATATAGACAAACCCAAAAGTTGGGTTAAAAATGTAATGAAAAAATTTAACCCAATGGCTGGGTTTGTCCATATTTGACCCAAAGTTGGGTTAAAACAACCCAGCATTTTTAGAGCGTGCATGTAATTACATCCATAATTACACTGTTGACCCTTCCCTTACCCCTCTACCCTGCCCATAAACGCACCCATATCCCTCCTCAATAGCAGAGAAAGTGTTTCACAATACAATATGAACACAATAAGTACAATGCACTTATTTTTTGATGTAACATAGCAGTTAAAGACACCTATAAAGTATGACCCAAAGTATAATACAATTCCAATGCTTTTTTTTAAAATGAGGATCATAAAAATGTTTAATACAGCTGTGATGCATTTTTTAAAGATTTGTAGGTACTGCTCATACCCCAGATAATCATATTTGTGTGAATGTGCATCTGTGTAAGGGAATACAATTTCTCCATCTCTAATTGGTGGCAGAAATACTCGCAAAGTTTTGCCACATGGTACCACATTTCCTTCCTCCACAGCTGTGCGAAGGAAATAAATAGCCAGTACAGACTAGAGAGCAAAAGAGGTGTAATGAACAGGAAAATGTATAAACTGAGGTGGAGTAGCAGCAGAGGAAACGCAGAAGTGCTTGTCTGGGATTGTGGTGGTGTTTCTAAAAAATCAGCATCTAATTCCGCCTGTGAAACTGCTGGACATTTTTTTTTCCTCCCTCTTCCCTCTCTTTCCCACAGAGTGATAGTTGCCTTAGCAACCGTGGCAAATCTTCCTTTTCTCAAACAGATGTCCCATTTAGTTGGAAATTAGAATGTGTAAAAACCCAGGAGACTCAAATTATTTCCAAGTTCTCCGGGAGGAGGGAGACGGAGAAGAAAAGAGGAGCGCAGAAAAGAAAGGAGTGGCGAGGGATGGAGAGAAAAAGAGGAAAAGGGAGGGAGAGGGTTACATATCCTCCTCCTCAGGAAGTGTGAAAGTGTGTTGATTAGCCATCGCTGTGGGGCAGCTAATTCTGACGCCCGACCAACACTGAAGAGGCAGCAGACGGAAAAAGACACAAGAAAGGGAGGACAAGATGAATACAGGATGGGTATGAACCATCGTACGGTCCGTCTTTCGCTTAATACCGTGTATAATTTATTCTACGACTATGCGACTGCAAAGAGGGTGAAGTCATGGAGAAGGACGGAGATAAACTGTAGCATCTCGCCTGTTTTGCAGGTAAACAAATTCAGCGTTTAAGAAAACGTAAAGAAATTCCCAAGAGCCGTGCGCGCTCACATATGTGCGAAGACACGAGCCCGGTGTGAGCGAGGAGTTTTCGCCTTGGAGACCAATTTACAGGTAACATCCAGATCCAGCCAAGACATGAAGCCCCACATTCAGCTGCTTTTAATAAAAAAAAGCTTTCTTTTCTCTTGCTTTCCCAGACAGAATGATTGACACACAGATAACAGCCTGAAAAGACTGGTGCGTTGGAATACCCGGCCCTTGATTCGTGTCAACGTTCCCCATGTAATGCTTTCAACTGCACGGAGCATTAAGCTACAGCTTACCTATTGGAGCAATGCCATTTTTTAACGTTTCGCAAAAAGGGTAAATCGCTGACATTTCAAAGCACCGTCAATGATTATGCATATAAATTGGTGCTATCACGGTCATAAATTCAAAAGTGTTTGGGGCACAGTGCCACAAATTGCCCTAGATAATTAAAGTGTGGAGAAATTTTTTAACTGTGATCTATATAGATATCAATATATTATAATTTTATATATTGTTATAGCCATAATATATTATTCTAGGGCCATCTATACACTTTTAATTCATATGTATTATTTGACAAAAAATTAGGGCTGTCAAACGATTAATCGCATCCAAAATAAAAGTTTGTGTTTACATAATATGGGTGCACTGTGTATAATTATTTAATATATATATAAATACACACACATGCTTGTATATATTTAAGAATGTATATACTCTATATAGATTTATTTAGTATTTATATAAATATAAATATTTTATATATAAATATTTTTTTTTCTTAAATATACATGCATGTGTGTGTATTTATATATATATACAAAATAATTATACACAGTGGACCCACATATATTATGTAAACACAAACTTTTATTTTGGATGCGATTAATCGCGATTAATCATTTGACAGCCCTACAAAAAATATAAATAGACAACAAACAGATTTATACACTAAAACAACAAAACCCTCATAGTGTTCATTTTATTTATTAACAAGAATGGTCAACAAACTGGGTGTTGTGCATCATCAAGGGAAAATTTCCCTCATAAATTATGAATAAATAAAGAAATGAATACATTTCTGACAATGACCAATACTATTCTGTTGTTGACCATTTTAATTATTAAATTCAACTCAATTACTTGCACAAAAAAAGACAACAAACTGTGCATTATGTGTAAGAAATATTAATAAATACACTCTAAACGGTGCTGGGTTGTTTCAACCCAATTTTGGGTCAAATATGGACAAACCCAAATGTTGGGTTAAAAATGTAATTTAAAAATGTAACCCAATGGCTGGGTTTGTCCGTATTTGACCCAAAACCCAACAACCCAGCATTATTTAGAGTAGAAAAAACTTAAAAGAACAACCAAACAAAACAAAAAAACCCTGGATAAACAATTTCTGAATCCTACCAGTACCATTAAATTTCCAATTCTACTCTTATTCTGTCCAAAGCTGAAATTTATTTGATCTTTTTCCTACTCTTTCACTATTACTAATACTGTCACACTTCCCGCTTTCTTGCCATCTCATAAAAGCCCATAACACCCAGGTTTGGAAGTTGAAGCACAAGACATGAGCCATCTAAAAAGGCCTTTAAGAAGAAGAAAAAACCCAAAGCAGATGAAAACAGATAAGGTCGAGCAACTTCTCGGAGTTGTCAACTCGTGTGTGAGCGTGCGCGAGGGGTCTACATGACAGGACTAGGCCGTTCACACACCCCCTCTCCCTCAGGCATCTCAGATGTTAATTGAGGAGGTCCTCCAGTGGCCAGCCCTACATAGCCGAAGCGGTGAGCTCTTTTCCCCGTGGGGAGACACGACTGATACTGTACTAATCTCTCCTCTCTTCTCAAATCATTCTCCACATCAGCCGCCACTTTAATTAATTCACACAGACGCGCTTGACAAGGTCAAGCAGTTAAACGCACTGTTTTATATATATATATCTCCACCACCACACCGTCCTCTCGATCATTAGTTCCTCCTCTCCTCCTTTTTAATCTTTCACTTCGTCCAAATAAAGGGCTGTTCATTAGTAGCTTGTGCCGTGTCTCCTTCGTCAGTGAAGAGGAGTCATCAAAACAGGGGAGGCAGGTACACCAGATGAGAAAACACGCATCCTTTCTGTCTTTCACTTTACTTTCTTTCTCCTCTTTCTTTTTTGTTTTGTGTTGATGAGCTTCTTTAATTGGGCCACTACAGAGGCGAAGCAAATCCTCAATAATTAAAAAATCTAATTACGGAGTCTTTTGCATCTCTGGCAATAATTATTCCTCGTGGAGTCACTGGATAGTGAACATTTCTTCTATTTTCATTTCAGTTTTACAGGGGGAAAAGTCTGCTTTCTCCTTAATGCTTTATCCCTCCTCTTTTCAGTCTCGTTTCCTCCTCCTTCCCCTTTGCAGCTTTCTCAGGACAAACTTTTTGATGGCTGTCACTGATCTTAAACAATAAAAACACTTAAACACCCACATGCAGTACACCTACACACATATGAGGTGAGCAGCAGTATGAGTAAACAAATTAATAAAATCACACAATGAGTAACTTTACATCATGTTAACAGTAAATGGGATTCTATAATCTTTGAATAAAACAAAAATAAAACTATAAACTTTTATGTATACATTCTCTTATATACATAATCCATATGCTATATTACACTACTTATGTTTAATCCAGTAAATTAAATACTTAAATACCTATTAATGACCAGTTCTCCATAAAACATAGCATGGCAATGGGCACATCATGCCGTCATGCAAACCAAACATATCATATATATATATTGTTGGCAACCAGGTGTTCAAGAACATTGACGTTGATCGTCTGTCTTTGCTTATGTACACCCTGCTGTGCTTTATAACAGTGTAAGAAGCCCCCTGCTGCCCCTCAGAGCAGGAGAACAAGACTAACTGAAAGTGATTGACAAAAAATCTGTTACAATTAATGTCCTTTGTGGTGTTCTTGTAGGAGATGCAATTTTTAGACCAGCTTGAGTCATTTGCTGATCCTGTTCCACACCTTTGCATCATTTTATACTTTCACTGTACACTAACACTGAAAATGGAAATAAATAAATAAATAAAATCATCTAGAACTCGAGACATGAGTTTAAAGAGACTTTTTCCCCAGTAAAAAAATAGTCTTACTTTCATGACCTTAAGAGTTGCTAATTTTCTCTCCTGAGAAGCCCTGCAGTGTTACAAATTAATTTTTCAGAACAAATCCAGATTCAGAATGAATTTAATCCCATTTTTCAATTATCCATCACAAAACAATCCATTGTTCAAAGTAGTTTTAGATGATGTATATAGCATGATACTGCTGCCACTGCTTATAAACTATTAAGGCGAGACACGGCAGGCAAAAACAGTTTTGAGATTTTGGGCTATTTGTATTCAATAACATGTCGTCTTTCAGACTTTCGCTGAAAAAAAAAAGTCCAAAATGCACATTTAGGTCTTTATTTTACTACACTTTGTCTGTTTGCGTGTGTAGATTTCACCTAAATTCCTCAAAAGTTGTCTTTCTGAATCATCCCGCTGCTCGATCCGCACCCTGTCATGTCATTGAACACACCGTTCTCTCCTCTTCAATGCTGTCGGATCCAAATATGGTCATTTCCTGTTTATCAGCAACCAATCATGAAAGTAAAATGGGCCATATAACTCGAAATGCGAAATCCCATAAAAATCTTTAAAGGCCGTTTTCTCAAAATGAGTTTTTTCTCACACTTAGTGACGATTTTCCACTTCTGCAGCACCTACACCAAACTTTACAGCCGTATTCCTAACTATATTGTGAAGATTTGTTCAGAGGGATTTGTTAATATATCATTCTTGGCCTGATTTATATGACATTTTATGCCTAAAAATAGAGCGGAAATCTATTTTTTAAGGCTATTGGCAGTATTTTCTGATTTACAGGGTAACAAAAGGAGATATTCATAATCCCCTCTGAAAATGTCTTTTCATTGAATATATCAACAAAATGCAATAATTTTGAACCTAGTTTTTTTTTTTCAATGGTCAGATTCGTCACTTATGCAAATTGGTGCATATTTAATTAGATATAGCCTGATTAGCATATTTAAACATAAAATTACAGAAAACTTGCAATACATTTTTTTCTCCTATTTATGCGAGTAATCAACTGGCAAAGTTTCATGGTGACATCTGTAAGTTAAAAATTTTATCCTATTCACCTGCAGTGCACTGAGCAAAAAGGCCAAAAATGTCACTTTGGCAAAAAGGCCAAAAATGTCACCCCGCAGGGCACACAAGATGTGTTTGTGTTCACCAAGCCTCATTGTACGCATAACGGTCCATATGAGCGCACATACATGGGAAACTTTAAGCAGGCTGTGAGCGAGTGTGTTTAGCTGAGAGCGATATGTGCAGTGGGTCCTACACAATTGTTTGTGCTTCACGCTCTTCTGAAAGGGACAGCCATCCTTAATACTTCATCCACCCACACCAGCTCACACACACGCACACAAATAGGCACAAACGCATCACGCGTCTCTGCATTTGCAGATCTGCGGATGACAAATGACTTGTAAACTTGCATTAGCGTCAGCAGAACAGAAAAACACGCCACATGTTTCCCCCATGCAGGTCTTTTCATTCCAGAATCACCGTATGACAAATAGTCAGGATTTAGGAAAGAATGCAGCGTGCCAAGATCTCATTTAGCCCGGTAGAGGAGAGTGAGCATGTGTGTGAGCACGCAGATTACGAGTAGGGATGTGCAACAGCGACTAGTCAATTATAGAGGTCGACTAGTCTTCATGTTTTCTTATTTATTATCATTTCTGTTGAGGAATTTCAGTGATTTGAAGTATTAAATTAGCGTTTCAGGTGCACGAAACAACGCTCTCTGTGGGTTATTGTCATCCTAAACCTCGATTTTAACCCTGGAGCGCTTCACACTTGTAATTTAGAAGCGTAGCAGCACTTTTGCGGTGTAAACCCAGCATTGCGGTGCAAACGTGTGCAGTGTGAAACGATCCTGTGTTAGAATGTTACAACTAAACCAATCGTGTGCTTCATATTCACTTTGGACAGTCATGGAAACACAACACATTGTATAAATAGTGTCAACATTTGAAGGGAGAACTGTTAAATGGTAATAAAAAACATGACAATTGCTGTTAAGACGAAACCGTTTCATTCCTCCCTTCAGGAAAAAATAGAAAGCAGTCGGGAATATGAGAAAGTGCAAAGCTAGAACCTTTATATAAACAGGTTGCATGCCTAGTTTGTCCAATCAATGACACTGACATAGCAAATATGCAAATAAAAACAAAAGTTTACCCAGGATTTAGTGTGAAACGAAGCATCTTTTTTTTTTTGGTTCATTCAATGAACGAAACGAAACGAATTGACTCAGGAAAAGATTCGACTCAGAGTTCGAACAGGAGAGTCACAAACGTGCGTCACAGAACAGAGAAAGGCAAGCTTATAAAACTTAAACTTTGTAATTTATTTATTAAATGAGCGATCGTTTCGCTTGATAAGACCCTTATCCATCGTCTGGAATCGTTTAAAGCCCTTTGAACAGGGCTTTGGGTCGTTTGGACCTTGAACCGTTTGGTTCCCATTAAAGTCCATTATATGGAGAAAAATCCTGGAATGTTTTCATCAAAAACCTTAATTTCTTTACGACTGAAGAAAGAAAGACATGGACATCTTGGATGACATGGGGGTGAGTAAATTATCAGCTAAAGTTTTTTGAAAAGTGAACTACTCCTTTAAGGGTAGATATAAGGTACTAAAGGTGTAACTTTCAGGGTACTGTCCCAGTGAAAAGCATTTGTTCACCTAAATTTTATCTGACACATGCAGGTGAACTTTAAAGGCAAAAAAAAACATGAGAAAAGAGAGATGAAGAGATGATCTGATGGAAAACATAAGCTCTTTTCCAAACCTATAGCCTCCTCTGCATACATAGACATCTGCCTTCTAAGCTTCTTAACTGAAACCGTTCATTTTTTGGTTGTCTTTTCTTTGAAGAATGCATACAATAATGAGAATCTGGCCAAAACGAGGTATCGTAGAAGGCAATCCAAATACATAGCCTACCATTTAAAACAGCCTTGACACTTTATATGTCTTTAATAGACAGCTTTGGGAACAGAGCGGTAGATGAAGCAGCAGAGATGAACGACTTTACTGAGAAACGCAGTGCTGCACAGATCACAGACAGCCATCGCCCGCAGCAACACAGGACTCGGCCCATAAATCCCGGCGACTTCACCACAACAAAATCTCCATGGAGATGAGAGTTTTGCAACTGTGCCCGAGTGTGGCAGAGCTTCTTCAACTCAACAGTGACAGGAGGAGAAAATGGAAGTAGGACTAGATGGACTGACAGAGAGAGATGATGATGATAATAAAAAAGAGAGAGAGAAGCTCACAGACGCACTTTCTGTCCACCTTCCCCTGTGGTGGAACGCTGTTACCAGATCTCAGCAACTCATTTTGAGTGTTTTCTGCATGGTGTAAACACACACATACACTGGCATGAGATGAGGATTTCTGTCACGTCATATCGGAGTGGATTAATACTTGAAGGTTTTAATCTAGCTCATGAGTTCATGACTGTTGTAAACACCATCAGCGTGACAAGCCACACACACATGAATAAATGCTTATTTATCAACTTTGATGTAAGGGCTTACTGTGATATTTGCAGAAGCCATCTGCCAGTGAACAACACACCTTAGATGGGACACACACACATAGAAACACACTATAAAAATGAAAGTATATTATAGACCTCTATTGTTGTACCAAACCAAACCCGTATCCCGTATAATGATGATAATGATAATAATAATTATTATTAAAACCCTATCTCTTAAAGAAAATGCTTTGCAATGAATAAATTACTATTATAATTTTAGTTTTTTGATAAATTATGATAAACATTACAAATTGTTTATTATATATTTATTCACATTTATTGCTTTTAACATACACAAATTAAAATGACTAGAGACAAACTCGAAATTGCTCTTATTTATGAAAGAAAACATAGATTAGCCCCTATATGAATCTGTTTTTCATTTTAGCGACACCTCCATGTGGTGTCATTGTGTTTTACTATTCTTGTAAGGACATTTTTGCTCCTGCAAGTTTAGAAAATACACCCACACACACTATTGTACAGGCCAAATTCATTAAAAAAAAACAAATAATTACCTGGCATGCGTTTACAATACATTATACTTAGAATTCAGTGCTTGCAAGTAACAAAGTTATTCGCACACACTGGCACAAAGGTAAATCGCAGGACATGGAGGGGTGGCAAAAGAAGTGTAACAAGAGAGATAGACAGAAAGAGGGAAGAAGGAGCAAAAACTGAGGAAGACTAGAGGGGGAAGGGACAACACAACAACATATGGTGACAAACACGGTGACAGGAAGACTTGAGAAAGCGTGCGCGCGAGAGAGAGAGAGAGACTCACCACGGTGAGCCGTAGATGCGGAAGCCCCTGACGGTCACATCAGAGTCCTGCAGGTAGATGCAGTTGGTGAGCAGGGACTGCACGTTCTCGTAGTTCTCCGGCTTGAGTTTGGAGGCCGAAGGGAAGTAGTAGAAATCCTGCTTTATCAGGTCTGCCATAAACTCCTGATCGAACGTCAGCTCGTGGTTCCCGGCTATAACGATTTTTATCTCGTAGGGCAGAGTGCCTGAGGAAAGAGAAAACAGCTGTCATGACACAGAGCCTTCGTGAGGATTATGATATTTATTTTATTATTTATCATTCATGCAATGTTGCCACGATAAGCAACTGTGGGGATTCCACCCACGAAACAAATTTCCATAACTTTCCGAGTCATTTGTGGTTACTAGATAAGGACTCATTTTGAAGACGCTGCACTCAAAAGAAACTTTATCTGATCTGAGATACGAACAACTAGAAAATCAATTTTCACTACAGCAAATTCCGCGGCTTTTTTAGATTTTACTGAAGATTTTATTGTTTTCCAGCACTTTTAACTTCTCATTTAAATCCTTGTTTTTAAAAAAAATAACAATTTACATGTCATTTTTTTTTTATCTCTGTGGGAACTGGGAACCCTTTAGCGACAACAATCTATCTGGAGCAAAGTGTCTCGATCAAGGAGCAAGTGATTACTCCTTGTATGGTTCAGACCTGCAACCTTTCACTTACAAGCCTTGAACCAAACTTCAGAAATTTTTGAAACAAAATTTGAACTTTCTTAATGAAACGGAAGGAAAAAAATGCAGAAAACTTTCTGGGAACACTTTACTTGAAGGGGTGTGCATAAGACTGGCATGACACCTTCATAACCATGACATATGAAATAGGGTTTGTGCATGTTTAATGACAACTGTTATCAAGTGTCTTTCGCTCAATAATGACATTTTAAATGCAAATATGACATTGTTTAAAATCTCTTTGTTATGACATCTTGACATAAACCAATATATCATCACCTGTCAGTGTCTTTGTCATGACTTGACATTAAATTAAGTTTAAATTAATACGACAGCCAATGTCAAAACCAACCACCTGACAGTTTAATATAACGTTAACCAATAAAGCTAGGTGGTTTCTTAAGTTTGATCATTAATCTGCTATGTCATGTTTATGACAGGTTGTGTTGTCTTAGTAACGTCAAGTTGTCATGACAAAGACACTGACAGGTTATGATGTATTGGTTTATGTCAAAGTGTCATAAAAACGACATCTCAAACAATGTCATATGCATTAAAACTGTCATAACTGAGCGAAAGACTAAATAACATAAAACTATATCCTTAACATGTCATGTCATGATTATAAAGGTGTCATGTTAGTCTTATGCACACCCCTTCAAGTAAACTGTTACCAACTTTCTTAATTGATCTAAACACAGTCAAATGTGTTAAACAGAGCTTAGCGAGACTGCACTTTTATTGGTACCTAAAAGCATAGTCGATTAGCCAAAATATTTCATAAATGAACACATAAGGGGAAAGGGGGATGTGTAAGCACTGTAAATGACAGTCAGAGGAAATCTGCGCTGCTTTCTGTGGGCCCAGATGCCACATGGGCCTGCCAATAAGGTGGGCTACATCATTCTCCTTGAGGTATTAAGTTGGTTTATATTGGCACTGCAAGCAGAATACATTGCAGTACACCAGAACATGATGCCGGACTCTCAAGAACTCGTTTTCGGCTCCTCTCTCGAACAATGCAAATTAATATAGCACTTCATAATTCTGACATCAATAAACGCACAAATATTATTACTCTTCGATCCATCTCCATTTTTTCACGGTTCTATAAAATTTCCTCCACACCGGGGAACGAACCTGTCCACGCCTGACAAACACAAAGACAGTCTGTCCCCACAAATCTCCTCTCTCCAAATCGCTCTCCCCGCAGCCCTGCGGATCCGAGGCGAAATTACGACAAACATCTGGAAATGTTCCCTTTATTTGAAAAGTGTCATAAAAGAGATGAGATGCGTCAGAAAGTGTAAGGTTTGAGGTGTGACGGAGAGTTCAGTCAGCCTGTGTTTTGACAATTACGCAGCCAAGCGAGTCCCTGAAAAGCGGCAATTAAATTGTGGGCGGGAAGGATGTGTGTGTGTGGAGGGGGGGTTCTGGTTTTGAGGACCTGCAAAAAAAAAAATACAAAAAAAATTGACAGAGCACACACACACACACACACACGCAGTCCCTCGCACATGCTTATGCTCAAAACGTGTGACTTAACAGCAATTTTCCTGACACTTAACACACGCACAATATTCCACGGCACCTCTCAAAATCTGCGTCCATAAGCACAATTTTACCATCGCTGGGAGATGATCGTAAAAGTAAGACATGTGCAAAAATTAAGAGAGAGTTTTATGTGTCCGTGGCAGATGCTTTACAAGAATCTTGCGGATTTAAAGCCTCCTTCCAGAGGCAAAGCTCTGATATCTTTCATGTTTGCTCAACAGTTTTGTAATATGTAATAAAGAACTATCTTCAAGCTCAGTCGTTCGCTCTGATTTCATTTCCAAGCAGATTTGAGAGAGTACACATCTACTTCTAATGCATGTCAAACCCTTCATAATTCAAAATACATTTTTCAGACACCTGTTAATACACCCTCTATATTACAAGGAATAGGCTACTGCTGATTGGTCTTAGCATTGTACTTTACTTGATTTTGCTTCAAGAACCAACTTTATATTCAAATTGGTTTAACATGAAAAACAAGCGAATGTCTTTAAATCCAGACTGATCTCATGAAGTAGCGTGTGTATGACACGCCAATTCGTATTTCCATTTTTGCCGTGCTATCAAGACGCATTCAGCGTGTTTATGAACGCCGTTGACTTAACGTTATATAAATATATGACTTACCTCAACCCCGTCCCTAAACCTAACCGTCACTGGGGTTAATGGCATTTATGACTGTTCCCTTACCATCCTAGGAAAAAAAAAGATCACTCCTCAGATGTAGATCTACATTTTGCTTCGTTTCGCGCAGACATTTGACGGCGTGTACAGACACGCGGAATCACTCGGACGTTAATGGCGTAGACATACACGCGGATAGCTCAAAATGTGTATAGATAACACGCCACTTGACTCGACAGTGGCGTGTATGTTTACGCAAAAGTCATGCTGTTAAATAAATAAATAGGCATATAAGCAAAACAGACAAAAAATCGTTTATGTAACTACCTTATATCGATAGTAGAGAGATCTTATGGTCAATTGGGGTGTGTTCACACCTGGCATATTAGTCAATTAAAACGAACCTTGGTGCGAATGCTCTGTTAGTGTGGTTCATTTGGCTTTTTGGGCCGAGACCCCTGAAAGCAGCAGAACCTCATTTGTGTGTGTGATGGAGGGATTCCTGCCGCTGTTTTTACTCCTTTTCTTTAGTAAGCTTTTCATGTGCTCTCAGCTGGTCAACATACCATGTAAGCTACGCACATACAAGCGCATTTAGCTCAGCATAACAGCATTGTTTTGGCCAGCAGATGTGTCCATACATGTCCCATACCTTTAGGTTCGGTATCTTTAGGTTAGCATTAAGGCCAAAGTGAAGGCTAAGCGGACTAGGACTAAGGGTGTGTTCACACTTGTAGTTCGGTTGGATTGGTTCGTTTGATCCACACCAAAAAACAAACAAACAAAAAGAAAAAATTTAGTCCTTAGTGCTCAGATTGGCAGTATTATCACCGAACCTAAAGGCATAGGGATATGTTGGTCTGCTTTTATGAAGTATTGCCTATTTTGAGAGGGAACTTACCGAACATCCAAACCAATATTGTGTATGTGTGTAGCCTACATATGATGTTAACTTATAAGGGATTATAACATGTGTAAAAAAGGAATACCCTCCCAGTCACACACAAAAGAAGATCTGCTGCGAGGAGACGTAGTTACGATGCCTGTACCGAACTGTAACATTGCGACTATGGCAAGAAAAAAAAGCATTCTGTCCTTTTTAGATGCATTGTATTAATTTCATTTTAGAATTGTTTTTCAATGCCATCCATAACCCTGTATTTTGGGATCATGACCCACAGTTTTCCTTCTCACAACATACAGCCCTTTGTTTATGTGCGTCCTCGTATCAAAAAAAAAGGGAGAGAGAGAGAGGGAAAAAAAGAGAAATTCCATATTGTGTTTATGTTATGCGCCATCAGTTTCACGTACATGTGTAGGCACTGCAAAAGTGTGAAAATCTCCCGGTGCATATGTTCATCTACGTGTACTCATTGCCTTTCCTTTCTCTCCTTTTCTCTCTCATATAGATTCCAAACGACCAGACTCCTTCAAAGGCAGAATTACAGAGAGAATCACTATTTTACAATGGAGTCATTCTCTTAGAAATACAAAGCAAAAAAAAAAAAAATTCTTTGGAAGCAATCAATCACACAAATACAAAACGCCAGCAAGAGGGAGGATGGAAAAGACGAGCCCAAAGCTTTTGTGATGAGGAGGAGCGGGAAATGGAAAAGAAAAAAGCACGCCGATTTCAGCCCAAAATGCCTAATCCGGACACACGGACGAGTGTGCGCTGCTTGTTGTTATTAGTTTCTATCTTCTTGGGCTCTTTGTCTTTGATTTCAAAAGCACTTTCAAGGCGGCAATAGCTTAAATTTCACTGTGAATCTGACAGACAGCTTCTGTTCTTTTCACTTCAAAAAGAGCGCAATTAAAGTGGATGAATGCAGGCCGGTGCGTGCTCACACAGAGGCAAACGTGCAGCGAGAATAGCATGTTCAACAACTTAAGACACACACACACATACAAATGTCTCACTCTTAACATGTCTTGTGTGTGTGTGTGTGCGTGTGTCTGTGCTGTGGACCATTAAAATAAGGGCTTTAGAGGTGCATAAGCCCAGAGGAAGTGTCCGGATTTGAGTGCTATTGTCATTTCTGTTCTGGTGGGTGGTCTTTGGACTTTGATGGAGCAAATCCTCCAACCTCCAAAATTCAGAGCTCATTCAAGAGGATTATGGAGCTGTCTCAGTCTCACACTGTGTGTGTGTTGCTGGAGACGTTCTGCGAGACGTTTGCCACCTACGTGATACGTGCACTTTCTTGTAAGTTGGCTGACTGAGAAAGTTTCTGCCAACGGCGTAACTGTGCTTTTTACACAAATTAAATTTAATCAGGGTGTGTTGTGAAATATAAATGGACAACCACAGATCTTTAGAGTACAG